AGAAAGACAATCCATCCATTTAGAAAATCTGTTACTTTTGGAAAGTGCTGTCATTCAAAACATACACCTTTATACCCGGTGCACCCTACAGGATGATCTGGCCACTTCCCCCCTTAGTCTGCATTATATGAAAGTTATGGCTGCAAAATTACATAGTTGATTCAACTTGCCATGTTGCTCCCTGTCTTAAGTTACAGTCGTATGCAAAAGTTTGGGCCCCCCTCTTCAAATGATGTTTTCTTTATTTTGTAAGTGAAAATAAATTAACTCATCCTCTACAGAGAGCACACATTTGCACATTTCAATGCTCAGTTGCTGTTTATTTGCTGAATTTAAGATAGTGAGAAAAATTTGAACATAAAATGTGGCCTGTGCAAAGTTTATGGCATGTTTAATATTTTATGTATTATTTGTTTCCAATATGTTAAACTCAGCCAAAAATAGAAACTGTGCACTACAATTTGCAGAGCTCGTTCTCTATAGAGGACGTGTTAACTTATTTTCACTTAGAAAAGCAACAAAACATAATATAAAGGATATTCAAAACATATTTGCATATGACTGCCTGTGACGGCAGGCAATGTGATGCTTGGTCTGTGGAGAAAACACAAAGTGGTGCAAGTGCTTGTACTGACTATAAGGGAAAAATAAAGGGATGAACCTATTGTCTACTATTTTGCAAAAACTGTGTGCACAAAGGTGGTGCCTGCACTCTAACACCAAAAGTGGAAATTTATGAATTAAATTAAGTAACAAAAACTTAAACTTTAGCTCATACTAAAGTAAATATATTACATGATTTCAGCAATTCCCTCTTTTTTAAAGGGGGAGTTCCAGAGATTTTTCAAAGTTTCTACATAATTCATTGGTGAAGGTAAGTGCATTGTGAAATGGTTCAATGTAGAGAAACATACAAACTCAGATTTCTTTAAAGTGGTTGTGATAGGAACCAGGGGTCACAATGTCTACAACATAAAGTTCATGTGTAAAGATAACAATAGTAAAATAATGGTAAATTTGGGTTCTATTTTGCTTTACAGCACTTCTACTTCTCTGCCATAAAATGGGTTAAGATGGATTTTAAGATGGATTTTAGGTCAGACCCTTATCAAAACTATTGTAAAAAATCTCTCAGACCTCAGGCAGCATATGCATAACCATTTCATGTAATAACTTTCTGTGAGGGAGCTTTTAGAGGAATTTAACACTTTGAATATCTGGCTCCTATCATCACTGTTGTGAACAATTCTGACTTGGTAAGTTTCTCTAGAAAGAGCTTTTTACATCAAACCACTCTGAGTGTTGATATCTTAACCATTCAATGTCAGCCTGTGACACTAGAAAAGTAAATAAGTTGTTCTGATTTGACTAACACAAGTTCATGAAACCCACAGAATCACCTGAAATCCAGTTGTGATGAAATCACTGCATATGCATCAGTAAGAACAGACTGTGCCATATGCAGTGATTTCATCACAACAGCAAAACTTACAATTTAAGTTGAAATGCTTAGATGAGCTTAAATGTTTTGCATAAGCATTTATATGTCCATTTATAACATTTATAATCTGAGGCAATCTGTTTCCACAAAATATTTAAGATGCCACTCATGTAATTGTTGTAATTACTTTTAAGAGTTTAATAATATTGAGTTATAGAAATAAATATTTTGAGTTTCATCAACTGAAAATATTTGTCAGCTTTCTCAATAGTTTACTTAATTATGCAACTAAAATATCATTGTGTAACTAACCCTAACCTTCTATGTTCTACAAACTTCTGACTTTCGATTTTATGAACTTCAAATCAGGTCATCAGTTTCCTTGATCTTTCTGAGTTCTGATAACGTATGCGTGTTTATAGTTCGGAATCAAACCATGGCATGGAGGAAATTCCTCTGTGTGAATAAAACTTGTGATAACGAGGGCCCTTATTTACCACCTGGCCGGGAAAGGAATATCATTGGCCACCATGCTGCCATTGTGAATGGTTTTTTCCATCATGCCATTGTGAATGTTTTTTCACCCCCACCAACATGCAATTAGGAGAGCTTTTTCCCCCACCATGCCCTTGGGATTTTTTTAGCACTGTGTCATTGTGAATATTGATGAGTCCATGCAACTTTTGGTATGGACAACCCATATCATTACATTTCTGACCATTACTCCTGGACATACTGGCAGAGGAATGGCCCAGGGTTGTTTTGCAGAGGCATGAGCTTACAGCAGGCTGCTCTGGGCCACAACTGGTTCATCACACACTGTTCATTCTTTCTCAACCACTATTCTATTCATTTCTCAGTTTTACAGAAGAGTTCTTTCAGAGGACTGAACTGAACTGAATTAGCCACAGGACCAGTGTGAATGTGGATTCATATAGTACTCTATCCACATGCTACCCTGCAGCACCTCCCATATAATTACATTCCTAGGAACATTACATAATGTTCTCATTTCTGCTGAGCAGAAGAATGGCCCAAGGAGCCATGTCGTCATCTGGAACAATGTAAGCTGCAACTATTTCATCAACCACACACAATTTTTCATCCTTTTTCTTCCATCCGATTCTTTATTGCTCAGTCCTACAGAAGATATGTGATTAAAATGTACAATTAGTGTAATTCAATGTAAAATTACTGTATTATGCAAGCGTTTTAGGCCATCTGAGAAAATGAGAAGTAAAACTTTTTTTTATCTGGGCAGTAAGTGTTATTTAGAACATACAAATAAACAATACAATTTAACCCCGAACAGAAGCTCAACCATTTCCGAAGTGCTTTTCAAGGAAGCCCAGTACCTGCTTCAGCTAATCAATACTTAAATCAGGTGTGATGCTGATGGAATTTAACAATCCATACAATGGCTGGAGTTCACCAATAAGTCAGAAACCAAACTGATACTTATCTGGAGCTGAATGACAGTGTTGAGTTGGAGCTGAATTAGTGCTACTGCATTCCTTAGAAAGGAACTTAGAAGGAAAGGGCTACATTATATGGAAACAAAATTACAGATAGATCATAGTGAATTTTTGGACAGGAGAGTAAAACAAGAAATTGGACACATCATATTAATAATGACCAGTCACTCTTTGCCACATTGAATCGTGTCACGGAAACAAAATGAAATAATATTTTCTGAACTGTATTTAGCAGTTTCGAAACTGAAAACAAACATATCTCTGAGAATGAATGGCTTATGGAGGTGATATGAGTTTAACAAAAGCAATCATCATTACATTAGTATTTTAAAGTTGGCATTCCACACATGATCCATTTGAGTAACATTTCATTTGGAATGTGAGACAATACTGATAGGAATTTATTGTTAATACTACTAAAAAGACTTTCATGAATAAATGGCTAAAACCATGAAGAACACATAGATATAATGCATGAAATATATGATACTCAATGGGAAAGAAGGATTTTTACTTAGAATTCATATTTATTTTTGGACTGAGTACATTAAATCCATACAATGCCATCCCACAGTTTTGTGTTTTCTGCTAAAACAAATTACAAATCTCCTGTACTTGAGTGAAAGAAGTATTATTTGAGCTAAAGTAGACATGTTCTATGTGCTTTTTAATGTACTTAAGTACTAAAAGTAAAAGTTACAGTTATTACATTAGATTGTTTTAAAGAACAAAAAAAAGTTAGCTATTTCCTTTCAACTATTTTATTTCATGTCTGTAGCCACAGGATCTCCTTTTAACATACTGTTCATTAAAACAGTGAACATTATTTTATTGCACAAACATTTAATGGAAAATTCAACCGATTTTTAAAATTTTCTGCATAACTAAATGGTTAAGATGTAAACAAAGTCATTCAGAGTAGTTTGCTGTGAAATGCTCCAGTTTAGAGAAACTTAAGTTCACAGTGGTGGTGAAGTGAACTAGACATCTGAAATGTTTAAAGCTACCTCATTACATGAAATTTTAGGACTAAAACATGTTTTTAAAATACATTCATGGTGGAGAGATACATTCAAGGTGTTGTGAGGCAAAATAATCCCCAAAGGAAACTATAAACCATTTTTGCCACTATTTCACTATTATTAGCACTATGTGTAAAAACTCAAAAGGCACCCGTAGGTTCACTGGAGGTTTTGATTATAAAATAAAATAGCTGTATTTGTGCTGTAGACACTGTAACCCCTGGTTCCCATCACCACCACTGTAAGGAAATCCAAGTCTGTAAGTTTCTCTGCAATGTATCATTTCACATCAAATCACTCTGGATGACTTTGAAACCACTCTTAACTACATAAATTTTGGGAAAATCGGTGGAATTCCCCTTTAAGCATGACTATAGATAGAACACTCCCACCCGATAATATTTTATTAACAACTTTATTAAAATAAAAATAATTGCTTTCACTCACGCACAGACGTTTGGTAGGTTGTTCATCGCTATTAACGATATGCAGGTTCAACAGAAAACTGGGCAGCTCAGGTGGACCCGAGCGAGGGGTCTGACCACAGCCGCTGACGGAGGCGTGGTGTTTTTGTGAGGGAGAATAGAGTAAAGTGAAGTGAAGTGAAGTGAAGTGGAGTGGAGAACGACAAGACTTCAGCTTGTAATGAAATCATGGGTACTGACTATAACAGATGATGATGTAGGTGTCCCCTGACAGATCATCCAGGGCTCATCAACCACTAAACGCTTTTAAGAAAGGCTTGAACGTTTTAGAAGCTGTGTAATCGTCTTCATCCTAACACGGGCATGCAGCCAGCAGTGTGAGGAGGAAACGTGCCTCTCTTCTCCTCTCCTTTCCTCCTCCGCAGTGAGATGAAGGCTTCAGCGGGCTGGAAATGACAGCAGGCGGCTAACATTAGCAAGAAAACTCTGCAACCAGGCGACTTTAGACGAACCAGTTTATGTGAATGGAAACGATTTCGAGAAAAGAAACTAACGTAGCTAGACACCCCCTCGATGAAGAAGGCACTGGCGTTAATTTAATAGCACGAGGTAACGTTAATGTTAATGGTTTCTTCCCTTCTTGAAAAGCACTGATGTTTGTTTATTGTTACTAAATGATTCACTGTAATCCTAAATGGGTAGCTTCAATTTAGGTAGCTAGCTAGATAGCGTTAGCTAACCTAGGTTAGGTAGGTTAACTTAGCTGAAGTTACACAATTAGTAGTAGAACTTATCCAGTCTTGTAAGATAAATGTTGTGCTATTAACTTGGTTTTAAGCTGATATGACTAAACTAGGTACATTGCTGGTATCCTTATAATGACCATTATGGACGCCATACTGTAAAACATTGGATGCTCCGGCCAGAAGCTACTTAGCTAGCTACACTAGCTAAGCTAGCTAACTTAGCTGGCCAAGCTAAGCTATACATCTGAAGTTAAATGCATGTAGGTTATTGCGATACGTTAACGCCCAAAGTATGTCGAAAATGTTTTCTCTGTTTATATTATTCGTGTAAGTTACAGCTTTGGCTAGCTAAGACAGCTATGGCCTGCACTTCTTTCGTCAGTCACTTGTTAGCTAGCTAAATTAACTAGCCCCGTTTCCATTTCTCTGCTGTCAAAATTTTCGTATAGTGAATGAGATTTTATAAAATACTGTGGTTCAAAAAACAGGAGGGTATAAGCCGAGCACGTACCAGCGGGTTAAAAATCAAGCGCAGCTCTGTAGTTAGCTACTAGTGTTACAAAGACAGCCCTGTACTCACAGGTATTCACTTAAAGCACCAGCTTTCTCTTCTTCCTGCTTAGATCTTATCTAGCAGATCTTTACTCCTTGTTTTGCATGCCCACCGCACGACACCTGACTGAACTTCTCTGAAAAAGGAAAAAGCTCCAGGGCTAAGTGAAGGAGATTTACTTTCCTGCAAAGTTTAGTTCCAGCCTGCGTCCAACATGCTGCCCTTTCCCTTACCTGCGCCAATTCTTCTGATCCAGCCAGTCAAAAACGTTTGAAGAAATATATTAGGTGTGGAAGATTGTGGTTTGATCTACAGTCCACAGAAAGGTAGATCTCCAGGACCAGGGTTGGTGACCACTGATATATTCCAGTGTGGTTTGCTTCTGCTGTACATTAATAGTTTTGCGTATTGTGGACAAAGTGCCTTCACCATGATAGTTTTTTTTTTCTATTGATTTCCTGTTCCATTGAACTTAAACTGGTCTGACATGCACTTTTTAGTTAGCCTTTATATTCTTCCATCATCAATTTTGCTTGCAATTGAAATTTAAAAATTGATCAAGACCCTAGATAAGGGAGTGCCTCACTTTTCCTGAGAACTTGAAAACCAAGTAAAACCTGTGTGGCAAATTTGGATTCCATTTGCGCCGAGGCATTTGGTGTCCATCATGTGCTTTTTGCAGCTTGCATGTTGATGGAAGCAGACAAGACCAAAATGAAAGGTATAAGTAATGCACCAAAATAGGAGTTGTGAGCTGATGCCTATATCCGATATTTTTCATGTTCACATCTGCTAATGCCATTTTATAAATAATTGTAAAATTAGGAAATTATTGGGAAATTCACTGCATCTATTGGAGTAGCATTACAGAGAAATAGAAAATGTATTTCTGTAGAGTTACAAATGCGGTAAAATAAATACATCGCAGAAGTTTTAGCATAGGAGCACAGCGTCATCTAAACATTCTGCTCTTCCAGAGTACTATAAAATACAAATATCTAAACATCTGTCCGATCATCATAACATAAGTGTTCCGAAGGCTTTGGCCAAATCTACTTCAACCCAAGTCTACCCTAATAGTGCTGGTGTTGTGGTAGATCTGCTCCATTTCTCAGTAGCCTTGTATCCTGTTCCCCCCTGGGTGAGGAAAAACGTGTATGTCTGTTTATCCTGTTTGTTGCAGAGTAGCATGCTAGACGTGGGAAAGTGGCCAGTGTTTGCACTCCTGCCTCCTGAGGAACTGCGACTCATCCGCCAGGCCTGTGTGTTTGGCAGTGCTGCTAATGAGGCGCTTTACGTTACTGTCAACGATGAGGTAGGCTTTGCTCACTAAAGGGCAGTAATAGTGTGCAGTAGAACCTTATTAAAAGGAACTAGTGAATGGATCATTTGCAGTATGTAGTTTGTCCCAGAGCATGTAATTTGGATGCAAACTCAATGGGTCATGTACTCAGTGTATAGTCAGGAATTGGGAGGAGGGAAAGTTACACAGACTGAGGGTGATAAGCAGATAGAAGTAAGCTATATATAGGCCAGTAATACAACACAAGCCTTGTTTGTATCCTGAGTAGAACAGTGTGTGACTCTGGAGTCAAGCCTTTTCCACGATAGCTTTTTGAGTTTCCCTGGTTGTGGCATGTCTTTGCCATGTCTATACGTATATATTTACAGAGGAACAGCTTAACTTGGTTGCAGGGTTATACATATAAGTCTGTCTTCTAAATGGGATTCCTTCCATTTGTGTCTCCTGAATCTTAAAGGGGAAATTTCTGCACAATTTGGTTATTGACATATAAGCTCTCATTCACATTGTCATTCAAAAGGTGGTCTGATGTGAAATGTTGCATTGTAGAGATGTCTGCAAAGTATAGCCATTTTATTTATTATCCAAAACAACCAGTTAACCTACACCAGCCAGCCACTTCATTAAGTACACCTACCTTGTATCTACACTCTTTGTCTTTTTTATCAGCTCCACTTTCCATATTGGAGCCCTTTGTAGTTGTCCAGTTATAGACTGTTGTCCATCTGTTTCTCTGCATACTTTGTTAGTCTCCTTTTACCCTGTTCTTCAGTGGTCAGGACCCCACAGGACCATCACAGAGCGGGTATCATTTGAGTAGTGGATCATTCTCAGCACTGCATGGTAGTGGTAGGTTAGTCTGTAGTCTGTTAGTGGAACAAACACAGCAGTTGCTGGAGTTTTTTCCCCCTCAAACACTGTGTACAGTCACTGCCCACTTCTACCTTGTTGATCCACCTTGTAGATGTAAAGTCAGAGACAGTAGCTTAACTGTTGCTGCATCTATTGGTGTTGGTCATTCTCTAGTCCTTCATCACAGGTTGCTTCCTACAGGGCTGGATATTTTGTTTGGTGGACTATTTTCAGTCCAGCAGAAACACTGAGGTGTTTAAAAACTCCAGCAGTGTGTCTGATCCACTCAGACCAGCACAACACATACTAACACACCACCACCACGTCAGTGTCACTGCAGTGCTGAGAGTGGTCCACCATCCAAATAATACCTGCTTTGTGGTGGTCTTGTGGGGGTCCTGACCACTGAAGAACAGGATGAAAGGGGCCTAACAAAGTCTGCAGAGAAACAGATGGACTACAGTCTGTAATTGTAGAACTACTAAGTGCACTTCCATGGTAAGTGGAGCTGATAAAATGAGCACCGAGTGTAGATACAAGGAAGTGTACTTAATGAAGTGGTCGGTGTGCACATGTCTGAGTCTTTATTTGTAGTGCTGATAATGGTAAAATAGTAAAATGGTAAATGTGTAAAAACAAGCTTTATTTGGGGACTGTTTTGCCTTACAACACTCTACACATCTTGCAGTCATGAATGGATTTTAAAAAATACATATTAATCCAAAACCTTATCTCAGACATTAGGTAGCATATTTGTAACCATTTTGTTTTATAACGTTCTGTGAGGGAGGTTTTAGAGGCATTAAACACATCGAATGTTTGGTTCCTATCACCACTGCTGTGAACAGCTGTGACTCAGTAAGTTTCTCCAGAATGGAGCATTTCGCATCGAACCTCTGTGACTTTGTTTAAATTAAGCCTGTATTAAAAAAAATCATGTTAAGGTAAAATAGGCCTATGCCAGTTTACATTTATATTAATTTTCCATTCTTTTGTGTTCACCCGTTTGTTTTCAAAATCACTTGCTGTGGTATTTGAAAATTGTTCACACTCATTCATCAGATTCACCTTTTCCCTTTCAAATACAACTCCCACACTTTGTATAGGCTTGTACTACCTAAACCTTCCTTTTTTATGCTCTTTGGAATCTTATCTTTGCTTGTTTATTCTGTGTTTCAATTCCAAAGAGCTCTAGTCTTAACAACAGGCTTCCCAGACTAGGAGTTTGACCTGAACAGCATTAAACATCAGCAAGTGCTGTAGAGCTTCAGAACAGTAAAGTCTGCTGTTTGATTTAAGACCAAAAAAAACCTGGCAACCACAGCACCAAGGTTCAGGACAGGCACACACTGAAATGTAAACAGTTTAAAAGTCCTTGTAACAGTCCCGTTCAGACATTTGGCATTGGCGTGTATATATCATGGCTGTAATGTACTGGGCTGTTATCAGCAAAACTGTTGTAGACTAAAGGCTAATTTATGGGTCAATAGAAAACATTCTGCTGTCATTCAGCAGCAGGTGTGTTGCTGCCGTAGGGCTACACAGGCGTGTTCAATAGTGAATTGTCCTTTGTTGTACAGAGTATTTCAGTGTAGCGCTCACAGTGATGGTGGCAATTGTTATTGCATCCAGTGACGCACTAGATGTCTAGTATTAGCTTTAACAAGTAGTGAAATATTAAAAAAAAACTTTTGGAACAAGGGGTGTTCACCTTTTGGCTTTTTTGACAATACAAACACAGAATTAGTGTAAAAAAAAAGTAAAGGTATGATTTATTAATAATTTTCTCTTTTAAAGTTCCCTATCAAATATATTTATACATTTTTAAAGTGCAGTCATCGAGTTTTTAAATATTTTTGAGCTGATGCAAATAATGTATACAATGCAGCAAAAGTATTTGTTTTTATAAACTTGTCATTTCCTTTTTTAGTACTTGTAAAAATGGCCTCTCAAAGATAATAAAACATTTTATAAATGAACATAGAAAAATCAGATCACAGAGAAACTCCACTGAAACAATGCATTGCAGTTTTGGAATATGGTGTTTGTGTATAGGTTTTATTTATTTAGTTATTGGTCCCCTATTAGAATGACTTAATATGGTTGGTGGCATTCTCTACAGTACAAACGTATTAAAGCTAAATCCATTTGACTGCTGTTCAGCAGTAGCTAAGCACTTTTTCTGGGTGTGTTTACAGGTGTTTGCTCTGGGAACAAACTGCAGCGGTTGTTTGGGTCTGGGGGACATGCAGAGCACCATTGAGTCCAGAAGGATTGATGTCTTGTGTGGGAAGAAGATTGTGTCTCTGAGCTATGGCACAGGACCACATGTGGTCATTGCAACTGCAGGTGTGAGAGAGATTTACTAAACTTATATTTTATTAAAGTAGTGCCTTATGTTACTTGAAGATATAACAAAGATAGAACAAAAAAACAAAGTGGCAGTACTACAGTAACCTTTGCTTTAGGGCTGAAAAGCCAGCAGAAAAAAGGCTCCAAAGTCTTTTTCAAGGAAGCCCTGGTGTAGACACTTTGATTTTGACTTGTGATTTTTAATTGTGAGCTTTGTGTCTGTCTTTTTCTTCATCCCATGTAGAAGGAGAGGTCTATGCCTGGGGCCACAATGGCTACAGCCAGTTGGGGAATGGCACCACAAATCATGGCCTGACCCCTGCTCTGGTCTCCACCAACCTCATTAACAAGAGAGTGACTGAAGTGGCCTGTGGCTCCCATCACACCATCGCTCTCACCACTGAAGGAGAGGTGCTGTTCAGTAGTATTGATTAATCAATAGTGCTGAAAATCGATCCCAAAAAGAGTTAATTCTCTGATTCCATGCATTTTGGGGAATTGAGAGTAGATTCCAAAGCTTTGGGCTCGATTCCACAGAGAGACATTCATGCTTGCCTGCACCCGTGCCAACAGAGTGTGAGAAATTCAGCTGTCAGTGTCTAGACAGCCTGTCTGAAAAGATGTCCTTCCGCAACTCACACAGTATTGTATTTTGCATTGCAAAAAAATAAATAAATAAAATGTCTCTCAGTCAGGACCACTTTGTTCAAAAAAATATTTTGTTTCCATTTGCAGTACGTTGTGTTTGGCGGTATGGCTCTGTTCTGGGCCCTCCGTTTGCCCTTCATATGCATACGTGGAAAGCCTAAGGCAGGGAGAGCGGCAGAAAGACCCCCCTAGGGTACGGTACAGAGCAGGCATTAATGACAACAAACATAACATTGAGTGAGTTAGACACAGCATGAAGGAGGGGTTGGGCTGGAGGTGGGTTGCAAAGAGGAGTGACGAGAATTGGCAGGCTAAGGCAGCTTAAATAAGCACGCTGATGAATGTAGCCAATCATATGTGTAGTTAGCTGATAACAGCTGGTGGTTTGAGATTGGGCCCTGAGCTTGACTTTCTGGCACATATCTGCTAAATAACTACATGCACTTGTAGTCAGCTAAGTTACTTTGGCTAGCATTACTCTCCAGATTGCCTTGCTAAGGTCTAATTGGTCATAAAATTAAACTGACATCTTGTGCATTGAAGAACAACTAACGTGGAAGCACATTTATGTCAAAAGCCTTTGTCATTCACACTTTACATAATACACTATTATTATTTACTTAATATTCTTTAATATTCTTAATATACTTACTATGCTGCAAGATCTCTTTTCTTGTGTTCTGAATTTTGAAATTGAAAAAAGTGCCTTATGCTTAAATTTGGGCACTTTTGGTCAAATTACATGTTTTGTTTGACTTTGAGTAAAACCATGTTTAAGAATACACTTGTGCACATGCACAGTCGCTGTAAAATTGTTGAAAAGAGCATGTTAGGAAGAAAATAAAATGTGAAATTTGTGGCCTGTGTAAAACTTACAGCAAATTTTATATTTTATGTTTTTTTTTTTGATACACTACATACATAGGAATTGTATGCAAACTGTATGCAAAGAAAATGTGTTTTCAGCTGTCAGATAGTCCTTAACATGTGTAATGTCTTCATGCCTGTTGGGAAAACATCTTGAGTGGCATCCTCATGTAGCTGCTTGAGAAAAAAGCCAAAACTGTGCAAAGCTGCCTCAAGGCAAAGGAGGATAATCCATTAAAATATAAGATATAGTATTGATGTCTTCCCCTTTTATTATAAAAATTGAAAAGTAGCAATAACAATGCAAAGTGGTAGAACTTTTGACTGGTAGTGTAATTTTATCTTTGTCTCTTTTGCTGTCTGTTTTCACATTATCCTTGGCCCACTACTCTGATAGTAAAAGCGTGTTTGTTTGTCCTATGTTTAGGTGTATGCCTGGGGCTACAACAACTCTGGCCAGGTGGGCTCTGGTTCCACAGCCAACCAGCCAACCCCACGCAGGGTCAGCAGCTGCCTGCAGAACAAGGTTGTGGTCAACATCGCCTGTGGACAGCTCTGCTCCATGGCTGTTCTGGACAACGGAGAGGTAAACAGTCTGTCTTCTAATGTTGAATTATATCCAGCTAATTGATATGGTATACCAGTGTGTAGCAGTTTGTTTGAGCTGATTTGGTTGTACCCACTTCAGGTTGTTTGAGGGTCATATGTATCGGGTATGTTTACTGTTAAGGGAAGTTTACTGTGGTTGTCACTTTTACATCATGAAGATTCTTCGTTCTGCTGCAAATTAAAGGGCATCATTGTCCCTCTCAGTGATTCTGGATAGCTGCCATGTTTTCTGACTGAGTGCTGTGTTGACAGACCTACGGCTGGGGCTATAACTGTAACGGGCAGCTGGGTTTGGGCAATAATGGCAACCAGCAAACACCCTGCCGTATCGCAGCTCTGCAAGGAGTCAACATTGTGCAGGTGAGGAAACAAACAAGGTGCACAAGGTGTTTCAAGCTTCACAACACTTTTGTTTGTTCACTTTCACCCGTTTAAGCCCTTAAAAGGCTGTGCACATGTGCGTGACCTACGCAATGGTCTTCTTGCCAAACCACAACTGAAACACAGGGCAGTAACAGGCTGTATATTTCTAGTTTTTGTTATACTGTAAAATAGAATTTACAAATAATCCTGTAAATGATAAGAGAATGAAAAAAGAAAATACCAGTTTTCTTGAAAAATATTTACATCAGTTTGATAACCTATTAAAAATGATAAAACGTGAATTAGGACCACTAAAAACTAAGTCAGTAACCTTGGGTCATTAAGGTTGCTTTATTTTTTTTTTCAAGATATTACACGGCCCAAAGTTACAGGCCTGACATTGGGGCAGTCAACATATCTGGTCAACATGCAAAATTAATGGAAAGGTATATGTTTGTTGTTTGAAGGTGGCCTGCGGCTATGCACATACACTGGCACTAACAGATGAGGGATTTGTTTACGCCTGGGGTGCCAACTCTTATGGGCAATTGGGCACTGGAAACAAGAGCAACCAGGCATTACCCACACTCATCAACATGGACAAGGAGAGGTGACAATAAGCTTACACTGTCAGATTTCCCACTTTGTTTATTTCTGCACTCCCTTTGCCAATCAGAAGTCTAGATTTTTCAGGTGTAGCTTTTTTCTTCTGAATAGTGTTTGGATGTGGTGTAGGGGGTGTATCTGCAGGTTTAGCTACCTTGGAATGTGGAGACTGTAGTTGAGGGGTTAAAGTGAAATGCTTGTGTTTGATGATGAAGATAAAACTATATATTTGCAGAGTGCAGACATATTTTGAGTGTGCATATAGTTGCTGTCGTATCAAAATATAATTTTCCCCACTTTTCATTTATTTGACACTATTTGAAAATGGCAGCTGTCTTATATTGTCCAACATTTCACAATGAATGAAACAATTGAATGAAAAATTTAAGTCCAAATTACTTGTAATAAAATCTTTTAATTTCCAGTTAAAACTGACATTAAGTACAAAATTTTTATTTTTCAGCATCAGGAAAATAATCTCAACAAAAAATTACAGTCTCAACTAAATAGAATTTCTAACTTTCGGTATTTAGTTTATCTCTTTGTGTGTGTGTGTGTGTGTGTGTGTGTGTGTGTGTGTGTGTGTGTGTGTGTGTGTATGTATGTATGTAGTGTATACATATATATATTTATATTACAGTGGTGTGAAAGTGTTTGCCCCCTTCCTGATTTCTTATTCTTTTGCATGTTTGTCACACTGATTGCAAGTGTTTCAGATCGCCAAACAAATTTAAATATTAGACAAAGATAACACAAGTAAACACAAAATGCAGTTTATAAATGAAGGTCTTTATTATTAAGGGAGAAAGAAATCCAAACGTACAGGCTCTGTGTGAAAAAGTGATGCCCACCCCCCCAAACCTAATAACCGGTTGGGCCACCGTTAGCAGCAACAACTGTAATCAAGCAATTGCGATAACTGGCAATGAGTCATTTACAGCGCTGTGGAGGAATTTTGACCCACTCATCTTTGCAGAATTGTTGTAATTCAGCCACACTGGAGGGTTTCCGCACATGAACCACCTTTTTAAGGTCATGCCACAGCATCTCAATCGGATTCAGGTCAGGACTTTGACTAGGCCACTCCAAAGTCTTAATTTTATTTTTCTTAAGCCATTCAGAGGTGGTGTTTTGGATCATTGTCCTACTGCAGAACCCAAGTGCGCTTCAGCTTGAGGTCACCAACAGATAGCTGGACATTCTCCTTCAGGATTTTTTGGTAGACAGCAGAATTCATGGTTCCATTTACCACAGCAAGTCTTCCAGGTCCTGAAGCAGCAAAACAGCCCCAGACCATCACACTAAGATGTGTTCATCAAGATCATCAAGATGTGTTCACTTTTTCACACAGGGCCCTGTAGGTTTGGATTTATTTTTCCCTTAATAATAAAGACCTTCATTTATAAACTGCATTTTGTGTTTACTTGTGTTATCTGTGTCTAATATTTAAATTTGTTTGGCGATCTGAAACATTTAAGTGTGACAAACATGCAAAAGAATAAGAAATCAGGAAGGGGGCAAACACTTTTTCACACCACTGTGTGTGTGTGTGTGTGTGTGTGTGTGTATGTATATTGAAAGTCACCATTATATATATTATTTTCTTAGCATTTGAAATCTGGACCGTAATAGAGAATAAGTGTAGGCACTTCGTCGTTGGTGAGTTTACTAGAGAGAATGATTGCACTGTGCCTGGGGAAAGTCAACACTGGAACACTGGTCATTAAACCAGCTAATGCAAACAACATTTTCTGTAGTTCCAACACAAAATGCCAGAGTGTTATTTTGTCATCGAGCTGCTGTGATGACTTTTTTTTAATGGCTAGTGAGTTCATTCTGTTTGAATCAGGCCTCTTCTGGTGCTCAGAGCAGCTAAATTAGCTTGTGTTCTCTGTTTTTTTTTCCCCAGGATGGTAGAAGTGGCAGCATGTCACACCAGCCACACGTCAGCTGCCAAGACGCAGAGCGGCCAGGTGCTGATGTGGGGTCAGTGTCGTGGCCAGGCTGTTCCTTACCCACACATAACACACTTTTCCAGCACTGACGATGTGTTTGCCTGCTTCGCCACCCCTGCTGTCACCTGGCGTCTTCTCACTGTGGGTAAGAAGGGTAGAAGATGACAACTTGGTTGACAATTACCTTTGAATCTTATCCAAATTCTTGAACTGTTCCTTAACTTGCTTAGTGCTCTGTTGTAGTCTTTGGAAACTTGTTATGCTTTTACTCTCTGTCTTGACTTGCCAGTGAACGTTGTCTGACAGCTATGCTGAAAATTCTGTTTGTTAGATGGAGATGACTATCTGACTGTGGCCCAGTCCCTCAAAAGAGAGTTTGACAGCCCAGAAATATCAGACCTGAAGTTCCTTGTTGATGGAAAATGCATCCATGTTCACAAAGCCCTGCTTAAAATCAGGTATTCAGAGAGTTCCTCCAGGCATTATGGAGTCTTGCAGAAAGCTTGCCAAAATAGTTTTCCAGCTGTTGCTGGCCTTTATTCCACTGAAGCATTTCCATTTCTTAAAGCAAGTATGTTGCATACTGATGTCATTGTGAGTCTGGGCTTAGCACCTTAAAAGCAATAATTTCCAACCTGGTGCTTGCACTTGAAAAGCTGCTTTATATAATAAGCACCAGGCATACATATAACTTGCCCAAAATTATGCAACAATATAACGATATTTTTTACTGTTGGAAACGAGGGGGGGAATGTTTGTATTTTTCTTGGGTTGGATAATTGTGTATCTGGCAGGTTGCTGGAGGCAAGACAAGGAAACAAAATAGACATTTGCGCTGCAACGTAGTAAATTAACAGAAACATGCCATAGCCTGCTCAAGGAAGTAAAACTTAACAGACTACAGACAAAATGTATGATCTGTTTAGATTGCACAATAAGAGACATTCCTAGTCAGTCGTAGTCTGTCTTGCAAATCACTTTAAAAGGAAATAGTGCATGGCAAATTGTGGGATTTTGTACTTGTGAAGGATCACAAGGCTTCATTTTCTAGTATTAGGAACACAGGTAAATTACCTAAGTGAATGATAAGGTCCATAAGGTGTGGTCACATTGTTGAGCCTGTTAGATTTTAGAGAAATGTCTTGAAACATTTCATTAGTTTTATAGAGATGTTCTTGTTCAGCCACTCATGTAGAGTATGTGTACAGTTTGGCACGTTAACCTTTTTTTAAATAGCAAAAGGATCATTTCTGGTTTGAACAGGATTCCCAGAAGGAAGTTTAAAAATTAGATGCACCATTTATTTAATTTATTGTAATTTTTATGTGTTTATTAAACATGTTCAAGAGAATCTTGAAGAAGATGTAATCTGCCTTGTTTTCAGACATATTTCTTGTATACTTCTGTTTTTTTTCTGTTAAAAGGTGTGAGCATTTCCGAGCGCTGTTGAACGAGACAGATGAGGAGGCCATAGAGATCCATCAGTTCTCCTACTTGGTGTATCGCGCCTTCCTTGAGTACCTTTATACAGACACCATCAACTTGCCACCTGAAGATGCCATTGGTAAAAAAAATTTACATTTAAAATGAGCCTGGAATAATGCTTGTACTTTATGTTCATAGAGGGACGTGATCATCAGTTTTTATTTACTTTGTGAAGTTATGCATGATTATTAGCGAATAAATTAATAAAATGAGATGAAGATCCATTGACTTTGATTTCTCTGGTGTGAAGGTCTTTTGGATCTTGCAACATACTACAGAGAGACCCGCCTGAAGAGGTTGTGCCAGGAGACAATCAAAAGGGGAATTTCGGAAGAGAATGCAATCACACTGTTGTCTGCTGCTGTCAAATATGAGGCACGGGTAAGCACACAGTCTTGTTCACTACTAACAAGAAACAAAGAAAAACTACAAGAAAAAAAAAACAGTCACTCTTTATCCTCTATGGACATACATACTAGTGTCAGAGCACTCATATATTGTTAAAATGTTTCGCAAAAATGTTATGGATATTCTGCTGCCACACTTCATAGTTTCATAGGAATTTACTGTCTGTCTAGCATATGCAGGATCCATATGAACAGCAAAAAAGTGTAAATTATTTGCTCTAACAATTAAAATACTAAAATGTATAGCTCTTGTGATTGTTGAGACAAAATTTCTATGTCTAGGTACTTCTGTATATTAGCTTTTCATGTGTTGTAGCTAACCAGCTATCTAGCTCAGTTACTAATGTTGATAAAACAGTTTAAGCACAAGTTTGGATTCCACACACTGCAAATTCTAGTGTATAATTATAACTGGTGAGCGAAAATAATTACAGACATCCTCTACAGAGAACACACTTTTGCATATTTTATTTTTTGTTTGATTACTATTTATTTGCTGATTTCAGCATTTTGGAAAAACAAATAAAACACAATGAGGCTTGTGCAAAAGTTGTGGCACATTTATATTTATTATAATGTTAAACTCTGAATAAATAGAAATTGTGCACTAAAATGAGCAGAAAATGCAAAATTCCATGCTTAAATTCCATGTAAGTGATGTGGTAACTTATTTTTACTTAAAATATCAACAAAACATGTAATTTGAGGGTGTTTAGATATTCATATACAACTGTATGTCTACATTCTGTAAAAAGGGACCTAAAGTATATGAAAAGGGAAACAGCACCTCCCCTCCTTTTTGGCTTGACATGGCTTATTGCTTTATTATGAAATATCACAGTTTCACAGTTAGCTTACAACATTGTCAATGCCTTTGCATGCGTTTTTGTTGCATGTAGACTTCACTTTGACAAAAGTGTCTCAAATATGTCACACGTGAAGCATCACAAATCGCAATCTGAGGTGCTTCACTTGTGATAGTGGCACATAGGGCTCTAAAGTTGTCTCACTCACACACGTTCCTTGCTCCTTCATTTTCAGGACTTGGAAGATTTTTGCTTCAAGTTCTGTGTCAACCACCTTACTGCTGTCACTCAGACCCAGGCCTTCGCTGACATGGACCATGATCTGCTTAAGAACTTCATTAGCAAAGCCAGTCGCTATGGGGCCTTCAAAAACTAAGAAAGTGTGGGACCAGATCATAGAGGAGGCTGGAGCACAGCACTGTACTGGCTTTTCCAGAAGTAGACAGATGTATTTTGGGGTATGTTTAGGCCTGAACGCCCTTGGTTTGAACATGAAGACTATGAAAAGTCACTGCACTGACTGACCTGTAGGTCCCAATGCTTTGAAGCTCCACTCCCAAAATGACACCAAAATTATTTAAAAAAGGGTTTAGAGTTGGAGGCCTGCCAGGTAGAAAAGCCATTAGAAGTTCAAAAGGGACTTGGAAGTGGGCTTAAGATGTGAGGACCACTGTTCTCATAGGTATCTGATGGTGCCTATGAATGGGATTAATATCATTGTATAGACTTGTAATAAGGGAAGAACATTCCACTTGTACAAAATAGTAGAAAGATCTTATTCAGTAGTATATATTACCTTCAGTTGTTTCGAGAGATGTCACTAGATGCTTTTGAAAAGGTTTGAAAAGTCTGAATGAACTTGCTTTCGACAGAGAAAAGATATCAAAAGAGAATCAAAATAATAGCACAACAATACACTGACAACATAGGACGGTTTTCAGTAGAAAGGTTTTCATTATGTAGATTACACATGTAGACTGGACTCATTTACTCAATAATTGAATGAGTTATTTGTGAATAGTGGAAAGAATGCTTAAGGTTAAGGTTAGCTTAAACGTACTTGGTAATTCTGAAAGTACTGTTCATTAAGTGTCAGTGGTTACTTGGAAGTTATGTATCCCTCTATTACTAACTTTAGGGCTTCTGGATAGCTTTACCATAATCAGATGCATGGTGCAGACAACTGAAAACCTTTTCACCATCAGCATCTTAACTGTTTTAAAAACCCTGTAAGGGTATTATTGTTTACTCTGAGTTAGTCAAGATTTAACGAACACTAAAAGACGTTGAAGCTTAGTGCTATTATATTAGAGTTACTGATTATTTTTATCGTTGCATTACACCGTTATTTTTAGTTAACAGAACTTAATTTGTATTTGCAATTATTCTGCCATTCTGTGTGCTTCTAGTTCTCCTTCCTTACATGTGCATACTTGGCAAATGTTTGTACAGTTTTCTGTTTTTGCACCATTTTCTTTTTTAAAGGTCAGTATTTACGGTGTGTGTATTACTGTAGTTTTGCACTGTAGTTTTACATTCACCATAAGTAAGATATGGATCTTTGGATAGTGTTTACATAGGGAGGTAATAAGGGCCTAATGAGCTCTTTTGGTCACTTATTAATTTTTGTGAGCAGCTGAATGCATTGCTCACCACCTCCGTATATAAAATATTCAGTGACTGGAAGGTTGTCCTTAAGAGTCATCTGAGTTTTTTATCACCACTTTATCATGCCGAGACTCCAGTAAAACAGTGTAATAGTATCAGATAATGTTATAGCGAAATAAGTAAGAATATCTTTTCAAGCTTACATTCTGCAACATCAGACTCAGCAGGACTGTCTTTACTAATTGAACTGAAATGTTTAAATGCAGAGATATAAATAGGTTCCATTAAGTTCTCAACCGTTTTGTTTACAGTGAAGTTCTCACTGTCACCTTGTGGGAAAGCCTGGTTACATAACTCCCTTGAGATGGATGAAGTTTTTTTTTGTTTGTTTGTTTTTTTTGGCTTCTACTGACACGAGCCAACAGGATATTGGCACTGCTATCCCAATCAGTTGTCAAGAGATGTGCTTACTGCCTTCAGCGTCCACATGATGTTACAGAAACTCAGATTCGCAGCTGGAACTGACGGCATTAAGTTGTGCTGTTTTTATAAGTAAAAGACTTGCTCCCCGTCTCTCTGTTGCACTCAGTGTTGAAATAAAAGTAAAATTAAGTAAAAATAACTGTTTTTTTTGGAGTTCATGTTCGTCATTTTGCCCTGATTCTAATCATGCCATCATTGGGTTTCCTGAAATTGTATTCATCTGCATTGTTATGGTGCAGGAACTGGAGAATTAATCATTTGATACCTGCTTCTGCCACTCACTCTACTCTCATGATAGAAAAAAGCCTCATAAGGTTTCCATAATGACTTCACTGGACATCATTATTTTCTTCTTAAACTCTTGTTATAGTCTGTATTGAGACTGATGACTTCTGATCCCCGCACACTCCTAATATTTTCTGGATACTGTACACCTGCCTTACACTATACCAAATTCTTTCCCTGTGCATATTAAAATGTTCTCATAGCTAACTCTCAGTATATTTACGTCAGTTACTAGTTTGAGGTATTATCTGTCTTCAGATCTTCAAATAACCATTGATAGACTTGTAATATTAGTCATTGGTTATCATTGATCTGAATGCTTCATGGAAGGACAGAAGGATGAGTTTCTCTCAGTATCTTTTTTTGTGGTGAGGGCTATAAGTCAAAGGCAGCCTGAGTAAACACAAATGCAGTCTTTAAATGATCATTTAATTTATCAAAGGAAAACAAAGTTATCCCAACACCCACTGGCCCTTTCTAAGACTCTGGGACTCAATCCCAGTAAAAGATATCATCTTCAAAAAAAGAAAACGCATTAGTCATGATTCTTCTCAGAAGTGGCCAGCCTACCGAAATTTCTTGAAGAGCACAGTAATGACTCATCTAGGATTTCACAAAAGAACCCAGACAGACATCTAAAAACCACTGTGGGCCTTGCTTGCGTTACAAGAGGTCATCTTTCATGATTACACCATTAGAGACAGGGCAAAAAGTATTTCTATGGGACAGCTGTAAGGCAAAACCACTGCAAACCAAAAAGAACATAAACGTTCATCTCAGACTTGCCAAAACCACCTTGATGAACCCCAAACCTTTTGAAATGATGTTCTGTGGAGTCAAAAGTGGAACTTTTTGGAAGACGGGTCCTTTTGTATGTGGCACAATACACACAGCATCCCACAAAAAGAACATCATACAAACAATCCACAAGCAACAGGCCATAATTAACCGAACCATGAATTCTGCTCTCTACCAGAAAATCCTGCTGGAGGATTTTTGTTCATCAGTCTATGTGGCACAATACACACAGCATCCCACAAAAAGAACATCATACAAACAATCCACAAGCAACAGGCCATAATTAACCGAACCATGAATTCTGCTCTCTACCAGAAAATCCTGCTGGAGGATTTTTGTTCATCAGTCTATGATCTAAAGCTCAAGCCCAGGATTAAGCAGCAAGACAACAGTCTAAAAAATGAGAGCAAGTCCACCTCTGAAAGGCTTGAAAGAAACAAAATTAAGGTTATAAAGTGGACTAGTCAAAGTGCTGACCCCTTTGAGAGGGCCTTGTTTTGCATGGGCTAAGAGTGCAAGCTCTCAGTCTTACCTCCAGATGGCAGTATCTCACTAGAACATGTGCACAGTTTGCTTTATCTTTCCAGATTCTCAGTGAACCATTTCAGTGCTACTCTTCTGTGCTATTTCATATTGATTGTGATAAGGCCATCTTTTTGTTTGACTTTCTCAGGAACCTGCAGAGATGCAGATAAGTTAAAGCTGGGTGGCCTAGTGCAGGAAAAGGCACCATGGGCAGCGATGAGTGTCTTGCTTATTGGTACACAGTAGGATGAGACATCATCAATGGCGATCCTCTGTGCTCGTAGACTCTGGACACCGCTAAAAGAGATCATTATCTTCATAAGTGGAAGGTGGAAAATAGTAACATTCTGATGTCTTTTTATCTGTTCTCCCCGGCAGTGGTAGCAGCTAAACACTCAAACTACCTGTTTCATCTGTGGTGCTGACCACAGCCTTTCCTTTCTTAGCACTGTCCTGACATGAAGTCATGAAATTATTTTGGTGGAGAAAACCATGTCTGAAACCTTTCAGCCTTTTCCTATACAACTTCGTGTACATATTCTGTCTCTACTTTTTGAGGAAAACGAAAGAAATCAGAGTAAGGGTATATATGTACTGAGAAATCCGATTACTGAGCTAAAAGAAATCAGAATTTGCTGTTCCACTTGAATAGTCAGATAACCAAAATCCAAAATCCGATAATAACACATTCATTGTAGCCCTCTGCAGGGGTGTTTGAAATTGTTTTACACATATGCTAGTCTTTACTAATGAAATGATTTGCTACATGTAATTGCTAAGTATTTGTTTGGTTGTCTGTTTTGTTATCTGTCATCGCTTTAACCTTCTAAACGTCTAATCAGAAAGGGAGAGATTATATTCCAATTCAATGCAATATACCAGCACACATTAATTAACTTGTGTCACCTTGGCTAAGTTACACAAAGCCCAATAAGAAATGTTGCCTACAAATGTCATTTCAAACAAAATGCAGTGCTAGAGGCTTTTGACTCTGCTTCCAAAGCTGTTTGTTTTGGAAAAGCAATGGCCCTACACTTCAGTCACTAATCTTCCTACCACACTTTGTTATTGTCACTATAAATAGTAGTTGAGTAGATGAATGTTTACATTCTGTACCTTTTTATACTGTTTATTTTTATGTTTGTTTATTTTTTCAGACAAACTAAACACAAACATACCCAATAAATAAAACACACCAGGGCCAGTTTACAGCACCAGTATCCACATTACAACAATAGATATAAGGCCTCAATGTGACATTTTGGCAAATTTATAAAATTTCCCCCCTCATCCAAATGTAAGTCTTGCTAATGTGGTTTCTGACACTGTATGGCATGCTGTCGTCTACAAAAATGGACAAAAGTAGGGGTAGAATTCAAGCTTCAGACAGCTGCTACTGCTGTTTTTAGCCATACTAATGTATTATTGTCCATGTTTACATTCTGTACCTTTTTATTCTGTTTATTTTTATGTTTGTTTCTTTTTTCATTCTTCCAGTGTCTGTGCTCTCTGAGTGTGAAAGTATGGTGCCTCTTTGAGTTGTGGAGTGCTGAACTGTCAGAAAAAATCATAAAGTGAGCTGTAAATATGCAGATTTAGAACCAGACATAATCAGTCTGTCCTATATTAAATTATTAGGGTCACACTCAAGACCAGTTCATTCATGCAGTTGTGGTAGCAGCTGAAAACAAATCTGCTTAATGCATGAAGAAAGACTAACTCAGTTGGGACAGGAATAGAGTGAAAAGCCCCATTGTGGATTTGCAGT